CAAAGAACTTTGTTTGATCCCCTAATTATTACAGTCAGTTGTAGTTTAGTGGTTTTCCATCGTCATACTCTTCATGATCCCATTTGGAGTTTTCTTGGCAAAGGTACTGGAGTGGTTTGCCATTTCCTCCAGCTTATTTTACAGACAAAGAACTGAGGCAAACAGAGTTAAGCGATTTGCCCAGGGTCACCCAGCTAGCAAGCGTCTGAGGCCAGATTGGAACTCAGGAAGATGAGTCTTCCTGATTCCAGGCCCAGTGCTCTATCCACTGTGTCACCAGCTACCCTATCACAATCAAGTAAGGCGTAAGAAAGGGAGACAGCCTTTCCAGGTGTGCTTGTATTCACTATGCAAGTCAATTTGTCTAGTAAAGAATACACATGAAAGTGGGGTTTCCTACAGATTAGTAGTTCTTATTTCAATAAAAACATTCTGAGAAGAGGTTGATAGGCTTACATACTGTTGCCAAATGAGGTCCATGCCAAAAAAAAAAAATCACAGGGCAGCTAGATGGTTCAGTGGGTGGAGCATAAGCATTGGAGTCAGGACATGAGTTCAAATCCAGCCTCAGACACTTGACTCTTACTAGTTGTATGACTCTGGACAAGTCTTAATCCCAGTTGCCTCGCCAACACCAAACAAACAAACAAAAAATGGGGTCCATGACACAAAAAGGGTTTTTTAAAAAAAACCCTGTTAGAAATGACGAGTTATTCCTGTGCAAATTGATGTTGTATTGTTTGCATCCTTCCCTAAAACATTGTACAGCCTCCTAAATAAGATCTATAATCATTCAAAAGATTGAGGCTGTACTATCAATACAGGAAAAAAACCAAGTAGGTTAAGAATGTGGATTGTCCAGATGAGGTTATATTCAGCTGGGCAAATGACACATGGAGTTGGTCTGTCAGGACCTCTATCTTGGACAGATGCTTCCGGTCAGCTGTGGGATGTTCTGAGAGAAATGTAGAGAAGGAATCGGCCTTGGTGGATCTAATGTGTTTGGGAAACTGATAAGGGCTTTCAATGATCCCCACCTTCTTCCTGAAATAAAAGTCCATCTTTTGAACAACAGGGATTTTGTGTGACTAGAAGTCATGCAATACCATAGTATCCAAAGATTCAGAGTTCTTATAAGTCACCCAAAGGGCAAGAGAGAGGTATGTGATAGTCCTAAATAGCCTTCAGTATATTCCAAGCAGATCACTGTGCACAAGCAGCAATATAACGGAAATAATCATAGGGGGAGGGAGTTATGAATAGAAAGTCAGATGGCCTAATCAGGTAGCAAGATTGGTGTTCGATGTTGGTATTTATGTAATATCGAATCTAGAGGAAGGTCCCCAGTAAGTAGAGCAGTGGAGGTTTTATAGGAGCATCTGGACAAAAGTATTCAGTGGTGTGCTGAGTTATGGGGGCGGGGGGGGCATGCAGCACTTGCTTTTATTTAACTGCAAACTTATTAAATTATTAAAGAGGCAACAGTAAGGAACAGGTTTTGGAATGAGTAAAGATGAAAAACAGAATGTACCAGTGTGCCACAGACCTCTAGTAAACATTTTTGAAAGGATTCATGGTGACATGGCCTCAGCATTTCAGTATTCATCAAATCCCATTCTCACAAGAACCTTTTCACTATTATATCTCCGATGCCTTTTCCATGTTGCAAGATGAGGGCTTTTTTTTTATACCTTTTGTAAAACTGTTGAACTGTTATCACGTGAAGCAAGCTTCAGACTCCTCCACACTTGGAAAATTCGTATTAAAAGCTACTATAGTAGAAAAGCTCTTTTCTAATAAAGAAAGTTTGTTTCACCAAGAAGTTATGAAGATAAGCCTTGCTCTAGGTGTATCTTTTTTTTTCAGCATGGATAATGGTAGTTACATGAAATAAAACTATCCAAAAATAAAAATAATAGAAATCAGATTTTTTTTAAAAATTAATGGAATACAAGAGATAGGTTAAGGGAGCATTTGATTCAACTCAAAGACAAGGTCTGTTTCTAATAGTACTGGGACATTGTGAGTTCCAGAGATTGTCACATAGAAATATTTGGACAAAATTTTTAAAGCACCAGTTATATTAGTTGGGGGGGGGAGATGAATTGGACCTACTTCATCTGCATTTAGTTGTATTTTATATTGTTTGGATTAATAGTAAACTTGAAGGACTTTATTCTACTTTTAAGCTAAATTTTCTTTTTAAAGTGCCTTCTCATTGCTGTGTAACAACTTGGCTTTAAAGTTGAATTTTTCCACTCCACTTATTTTCCTTCCAGTCTTTTTCGTTGTTTATATAACTTAATGCTTGATGGAAGTTCACCTTATTTTGAAGAACAGTAAAATTGTTGTGAATTTTAAGCACTTTGTTTGCATTTGATTTAAGAACTTTATTCAGCTCAGTATTGTAGGAGGCATATTTTTCCAACATTACTGATGTTTAGTACATTTTTATTGATCTCATTAAAGGTAATAGGAGAAAAGATTAGAAACTTAGTTTTGCCTTTCTAAATTCTAGTAATTTTGCCCAAAATTCTATATTGAGAAACATGACTACACAGAATGAAATTTTAAGTGCTGTATTTAGTAGATTAAATATCTTACTGTTCTGACATTTTGCACATAAATTTATTTAGTGGAAGGGGAAACCATCTTCAAAGACCATAGTCTAACCACAGAGAGTTACCTTGTTTTATGGACGTAGAATGTTCAGATTTAGCCTAGCACATCGAAGTGGCTAGCATATAGCAGGATAGGACAAGAGTGAGGTAAAGGTAAACTGATTTATGAGCTTTTACAGTCATTGTAAGAATTTGGATGGGTGGTGGAGATGAAGAGGGAACAATTTAATTTTGCAATTAGAAGCAGTGACACAGTTAAATAACTTGACCAGATTCAACTTAACATGCATTTATTAAGTGCTTACTGTGTGCCAGGGCCTGTATTAGGTTTGGGAATACAATAACAAAGCAGTCCCTGTCTTCAAGGAACTTCATCATCATCAGGGGAATCAACTATGCTAATAATAAGTATAAAGTATATACAAAGCTCATAGAAAGAGATTTCCAGTGCACTAACAAAGTAGGGATGGGGCTTGGGCAAAGGGATTTGGATAGGTTTTTTCTAGGAAATGACATTTGAGCTAATTTCTGAAGGAAGCTGGGGATTCCATAAGAAACTAGGAACTCAGCTCTGGAGTTCTTAAGCCTCTTTGATTTACATAGTATATGTCATCTCTTGGAAGGGTTGTCCTGTCAGCCCCAGAGAACAGAACCAAGGAACAGGTGGAAGCTTCAAAGACACAAAGTTAGGCCTGCTCTAGGGAAGTATTTCCTCATAAGGAGAGCTGTGCACAAGTAGAAAGAGCTGCCTCGAGAGGTTATGGGTTTCCCGTTGCTGAAAGTCTTCCAGCAGAGACTAGATGACCACTTGCCAGATAGAGTAGGACTTCATTTCAGGGAATGGGTTTGATTCGATGACTAATTTTTTTTTTATTTTATTCATTTGCTGGGCTGAAATATATTACCTTCAGTCAAGCCAGCTAATAAGTGTAAGGAATTAAAATATTTATTGGACTGGAAGGAGGAAGTAGCAGAGATAAATTTGCAGGACAAATTGTGACAAAATGTCAACATCTGAATTCTGAACCAAGAGTGATTTTTCTTGTACTTGTTGAGCCATTCAGATTGAAGGTCTACAGCTAACAGATCTCAGGACTCAGGTCTTCTCCTGAGATTCAGGCACATGAAATTATTGCTAAAGTACAAATGCTTCAGGCCATCAAGTGCCTGCTGGGCACCATAAAAGTGTCTCATCTAAAGCATGAGTCAGTAGAAATCTTGACATAGCACTTGGATTGCTTTTAACTTTATGGTGGCGTGTTACATTTTTTTTTTAAATTAATATTTCTAAGACATTGCAAAAAAGCAATCGTGGTTACAAAGCTTGTTGAAGCTAAATTTTAGCTTCTAAACACACAACTGAAACTGCAAATATGTGTTTTAATGACCAAGTTAAAACATTACTTAAGTAAGCTGTACTTAAGTATGGTGAATGTATACTAAAGCTCAGGTATGATTTTGCCTTTTACTAAAATATTTTTCTAAGAGCAGGTCGTAATTATTTTTGGTTGAGGGGAACATGAAGCCAGATACTTTCATGATGCTTTCGTCTAAAAGAGGAAGATAAGTTGCTGTTGCATTCCTTTTAGTTATCTTCAAGTCCCGTTACATGCAGCTCCTGTGTGTCCTTGATATGTTTACATTGGTGAAAAAGTTCCATAATTTACTGTTTAATCACATGTTAATGGTGAAACAACTGCAGTTTTCTTCATCATTAATGTATGAATTGTCATTAGACAAAAGTAGAAACATTTAATAAATGGAAAATTCCACCTAATTTTAATGCATTAAAATTTCGTAAGACCAACTTCATTTTATGGGGGGGGGGATACCATTTTCTCTAACTAGCTTTAGCCTTTGTATATGTGGTTAACTTTATATTCTGTAGATATATGTATTTATCTCCCAATAAGCTCATGGTGTACTTGTATCTCTAGCACCTAGCATTCAGGGCCTGATCCACAAGAATGATACTTGTTGATTGAATGATGGAGTAGTCATTGAAAGAGCAAGGTCTTCAAGCAGGGTATAGAAGGAAAGTGCTTACCTCCATTTTGCCTCGGTGGCAGGTGGTCAGGATTGGCACCAGTTCAGCCTTCTTTGAGTTCAGAGTCTCTGCATAGGAGATGACCTGAAGTGCAGAGTAAAGAGGGTATCAGTGAAAATAACCATGGATGAGGCGAAATCTGAGTTTATTTCTTTCTCACCGCATGATCTTTGTTATATTTACTCCCCTTTTTTCGAGAAAAAAGTCAAACATAAAATCTTAAAAGTTTATAAAAATCTATCATTTTCATATCTTCATCCCAGAATGCTGCTATTTGTTTTTTCATTCCTGAGTACTTATTTTCTAATCTAAATTTTAATAATTTTTTAAAGGTATTATGAACTGGATCCTTGCAAAAGTCTCATAGACAATTTGAGAGACAAAGTGGTGATTGAGTACCCAACGTTACATGTGGTATTGAAAGGATCTAAGAATGACATGATAATCCTCGGCCAAGGTAAGTGGAAATTAATGTTTAAGTGTTATGCTGTACTTATATAATAACACTAAATAAATAATAATTAAGAGTATACCCATATTAAATGATAGGAAAAAGAGTATTTTTGTTAATTTACCCTTTAATTGTCAGTAACTATTGCCAGAAAAAAAAAGTTAGCCTTAGTGAGTATTCTATTAAGTATATAGTTTTAAATCCTTTTAGCCTTTTATTTCCTTTCCTTATGTTGTATAGAACAATGTAGAACTAAATAAAATAGGCTCTTTCATCTCTTTGATGTACATATTTTCCCACTTTTACTTACTTAATTTAATCTATTGGCTAACTTATTACTAAGTCTTGATAGAGAGGGATCATATTCACTAACAGAAGTTTCTTTTATTGCCTGATATTGTAAAGATTTTTTTTTTCTAGTTACGTCAAGCCAGAAGACCAAACATTTACCGGGGTGGGGGGGGGGAGTTTGGTGATTTTTGTATTCCTGTTGAAAATTAGTGGCCTTCTTCAGTCCAGTGAGTGTCTGTACATGATTCTCTTTCTAGCTTGTCATTTATCGGATGAGAGAATGGCCGTAGATTATGGCTGCAGAAAATTCTGCTGCTTTTACCAAGTGATGAACCATACTGTGATTGCAGTTGTGATTTTGCTGACATAGCAGCATAGACTGATCAGGGGCATTATATAGTGCACAATTGTAAACGTCCTGACCTGATTTTGATTTTTAAATACAGAAGTAGCCTTTTCACATAGAAAGTAAGTGACAAATTGAGAATTGGATAAGTTACAGAAGAATAGGATTTAGAGCTGGAAATGACCTTACTTCCAGGTCATGGTATTCTTACAATAATATATGTAAGTCTCTTCATTATTATACTCAGAGGTGGGCCAGCATTCACTTGCATAAATGCATGTTACTTGCTATTTTAGGAGCTAAAAAGCGCTGTTTAAAGTACAAAGCAAATGAATAAAAACAAGATTTTTACTGTAATGTGCTTTGCCTTATGATGATTTGGAAGGCTATGGAGTGTTTTGAAGGGTTTTTTTTTAATTTAATAAATAGTGTGTTCTCAAACGTGAGAAGCTTGTCATTACTTGATTAGCATCACCTGAGCTTACACGGCTGGTGATATAATCTACATTTTCAGCGTGTCCAGTGCTAATGCTGGTGCTAGTGGTCTTTGTTCCCTATCACACACATATAATAATGGAAAAAAATTATTCTTGAGAGTCAAGTTAGAAATTTTCTCACCACAATTGTGTCACCTCTCATTCCATGCCTTTCTCCAGGGGCTGCATAGGGTGACCTTTTCAGCTTCACTCCTAGAATCTCGAGCTTCTGACAGCACAGCTCAGGCACCCCATCCTGTGTGGGCCTCTCTCTCCCTCCCACCCCCCACCATGAGCCACATTGTCTCCTTCTTGGCATTCCCTGGGTTCTGTTGCATCTCTCTAGGTCCACCTTCCACATACTCTGTTCCACATGCTCTTAACCGCTCTTGTTTTGGTCTTTGTATGAGTGTGTAGGTAGTGCTTTTAATGAGTTTATTTAAAAGATTTGGCTTGATGGCTACCTTTATAATTAGGCAGTAGGCCCACCATGGTCCTATGTTCCCACCCGTGCTCTCCTAACTAAACCTGCTGACTTTTTGTTTCTTGTTTTTGCTTCCTCAGCTCCCTTTGCAGCCCCACTTTTGCTCAATTGAATGCACTTTTAGAACTACATTATGTCTTTGCTTTTATTTCATTTTTGATACTTGAGTGGATCTGCGTATCTGCCTCTCAGGGTGGTTGTGAGGATCAGATGAGTTAATATTTGTAAAGTCCATAGCACAGTGTGTGGCACATAGGAGATGCTTAATAAAAGCTTCTTCCCCTCCCTTTCCTCTCATACGCAGGTATTACTGTCAGCAGTGTAGTACATCCCATCCATTCCTGATCCTGCATGACTTTGTCCATGGCTTCCTGGAGGGGGTCCTTGCCCCAGGGACCTTCCTCTACACCTCTTGATGTTGTATAGGGGGAGGGGAGGAGGTGTGATTGATTAATCATCCCGCCTTTTCTGGTCACATAAAAGGGTAAATAAATATTTAACTTCTGTAACACACTCTGTCTGTTTTCCCAGCCTGTACATTAAATTAAGCTTGGAACCCTTTTAAAAGGAAGATTCAGCAGTCTGTGCAAAGTTCAATAAGGACTTTTTTGCTTCCCGTTTACTTCATTTACGTTATCCAGGCTCACAAGATACTACTACATATATGAATCACTGTTATAAGCCAAACCATTTTAATAAACCATAGAAGACTTAATTAGTTTACCCCAAATACCTACCTAATTCTTACATAAACAAAACATGTAAGCAACCTGGGACTTCAAGATCTTAATTCTTACAAGATTTTTCCGATAACAAGATTTGAATTAAGTTATATTTTCCCTCCTGTTTGTGACACATCTTTTCTCTATTGAGTTAGTAGGGAAAGATGTGTCCTTAAAATGACCAGAATTTGGCAGTGTCATAACTTGGAACAAACTCTTGAGATTCCTTAGTTATAAATTGCAGATCCCTAAATGCTATAGTCACTCTTATTTTATGCAGTCATACTTTTGTGACTATTATTTTATATGCTCAGAATAAATCATAACTTTAGCTTTGAATGACAAGTTTTATTTTTTAATGTTATGTAATAATTTCATTTCTTTTATTAACATGCTTCACACTGTTCTGTCTACGTGTTGGTTTCACTGAAAGCTATATAGCACTAGCCAGTGCAAACATGTCTGTGTAAATAAACACGTCACACACAGCTTCTTTTTTCACCTTGTTTAGGAATGCAAATGAAAGTAGGGTTTCCTGTAAAAATGCAAAAATAAAGGGCTGCTTGAGGAATACTTGAAATCGTTCAGGTCCAAGGTTGCCATTTTCTGATGGGTGTGTAGGGCTTGATTAAACTATGGATCCTGTGCTTTTAGTACATAAGGTTATTTATAGTGGAGGGAGCCAAAAATTTAGGTTTGATTCTCAATTTGTCGATGCTATATAAAAGCCTCACAAATCATGTGTTTTTCATATGTATAGATATCTATATATATCTATAGCTATATATATATATATATATATATATATAGAGAGAGAGAGAGAGAGAGAGAGAGAGAGAGAGAGAGACACACACACACACCATTGTATGAGCAGTTAGAAGCTTCTTTTTTGTAGCTCTTGGAACGTGGGATTTTTGCCAGGGTGGTCTAGCTAATGGCCTAGATTTAGGAATTTGGGAGAACCAAAGACAGCATTTTCTTTGGAAAGTCTTTGGAATTCCTCCCCCTTTCCTAAGACAAAATGTTAAATTGTTGGTCTTGAATTTAAAGTACAAGGTGTCTCTTCACTTTGGCTCCAGCTACGGTAGTGGGGACAAGGGGATGAAATGTGGTTCTGGGCTGGGATTCAGCAGTTTTCACACTTTGCTTCTGTTAAAATGTTTTTTTTTAGGTCATAGATTGCCAAAACTTACTTTTGAAAAGTCTGCTTTCATTGATGGGACAGTAGGTAAATTGGGTTTATTGTTGTTGATTTTAAATCTAGAAGAAAATGCCTCGGTGTTCATTAGCACATTGATGAAATTGTGCTGATTACCTTTGTTTGAGTTAAAATGAAAAATCCTCCATGTGGTGTTTCTTTCAAGGGCCTCCACTTGCCAAAAGTAGGACTGTTTAGCACATTTGTCCAAAGAAAGACCACACTTAATATTGCTCTTTGAAGTAAGAGAATGAGAACAAAAGTAACAAAGATTTAAGAGAGCAATGAGGATAAAAATTAACTTTACTTGAATTTGTGAAGCCTTTCAAACCTTCACCAGCCTATTTTTATGATGTGATTTTGGGTAATTATGTTTTGGTGTGTACTTATTTTTTTTCCTTCAGAGAAGCATTATTTTGGGGGAGCAACCTTTATTCAAATCAATACATGGAGTTGATCAAATCTATGCCACTTTAAGATACAGACTGTGAGCAAGAAAGAGAATCTTAGGCTCTTTGAGTTGGAAGGGATTTCAAAAGGGTTCTGGCCCAAATCCGACCTAATTATAACTAAGACATCACCTGTCCTCTGCTGGAGTACTTTCCAGAGCAGGGACCTAGTAATGTGCCACTTGTTCTTTAAGTTTTTCTTCCTCTGAGCCAAAGTCATTCCCCTTCATACTCAATTTTGCATTCATCAGTCCTAGTTCTGTCGTCCAGGGCTAACCAGGAGAAGTTTAATCTCACTTTTACAGAATAATTCTTTTAAGTATTTGAAGATTCTTACATCCCTCTCTTTCCCTAAACCTTCTCCCCATTTCTTTTTCGCTCATCATCTCGTAGAGGGGCTTCAAGTCATTTGCCATTCTGGTCACCCTTCTGAATACATTCCTACTTAGCAGCATCCCTTCTGATATGCATCGGCCACAGCTGGACTCAGTACTCCAGATGTGGTCTGACCGAGGCAGCGTGCAGTGAGAGAGACAGTCGGTCCAAAGGAGTGAGAAGAGTGGTGGATTTGGAGTCCAAACGCTGGCCTGGCATCCCAGCCCTCTTGTTCTTCGTGCTCTCCTCCTTGGAGACACCTTGGAGCAGTGGGCCTGGACTCAGTAAGAGCCAAGTTCAAATGCCATCTGACACTCACTGGGCAAGTCACTTAACCTCTGTTTGCTTGATAATAACAGCAGTGCCAGTCTCCCAGGGTTGTTGTGAGGGTCAGATGAGATTATGTGTAGCACAGTGCTTGGCAGGTGCTATAAAAATATTCATTCCTTTCCTTTCCTTCCCTTGCTGATTTTGTGACTTTGGGCAAGTCACTCTGGGCCTCATCATTTTCCTGTGTAAAATGCCTGCCAAGGCCCCTTGCAGCTCTGAGCTCTCTCTCTCATTCTGGATGCTGTATTTCTCTGAATATAACCTAAGGGAATAGATGTAGCCTCAGGGCATTCAAACAAGCTACTACCCCCTCCCCAACTCCACCTCCCCCATACTTGATAAGTATACCATCATCTCTGTTTCTCATAATCCTCTTTTTTTCTTCACGGTTCTTTCTCCTAACCCCCAGTTGTTAATGTTGTCCCCTTCCTCTACAAATTGCGTTGTATTCATTTTATTACCTATACATGTTGTGCACTTCTTCCCAGAGAAAGAGATTTACTGCGCGCTTACTTTGTACAGAACACTGTGCTAAGTGTTGGGAAAGACAGCCCCTGCCCTCAGGGAGCTTACATTCCTGTGGGAGAAGATGGCACACACTAGGGACCTGCTGAGAGGAAGGGGAGGAGGTGCAGAAATAGTCCTGGCGAGTTGCGAGTTGAACTGGGTTTGAAGAACATGTAATCTTGAGGGCAGAGATGGTTTTATATTGCTCTTTTATGCCCAGACAGATACTTTACCTAATAAATGTTTCCTAAATTGTTTGAATTGAGTTGAAATGAATTAGCTCCAGTAGCTACCATGTACTGACTCATTCACCTTGATATTCACCAAAACTTAAAGGTTTTCTTGTTTTATTTTCTTTCCTGTGAGTTCCTTTCTAAGCAGCCCTCATTTTCCTGTGTTTTGCAGTTGATATGTTTTCTTTTTTACCCAAATACAGGCAGGACCCTATTAAATTTTGGTTTTGTTACCATCAGTTCACCATTCTAGCCTATCCGTCTCAATTCTGCCATCTCTTGTCATTGTGTTAAGCTACCCCTCCAGCATTATGTCAGAGTAAAGACAGTTACAACGAGAAGCCAGGAAACCCAAGTGGCCACAGGAAAAAACCCTACAGGAATGAAGAAAACCTCATGTGTTTAAGAAACCACGTGAGCCAGGCACCATATTGCCCTTTGGGAATACAAAAGAAACAGGCCCTGCCCTCAAGGAGCATCTCCTGTGAGGGAGTGAAGGCCAAGAAGGGCCTTTGGTCCAGAAAGTCCCAAGGGTGTTTAATAAAGCTGTTGGGCAGTAGTTGATGTAACCTTTCCAAGAAGCAATGGTGAAGTGTTGTTAGACCAAACTCAAATAGAAACAGATATCCCTATGGGCTGCACACTGACTTACAAAGCTGCGAATTAACATTATGTTATATTTTAGCATTTTGATTTATTTTATTAAACATTTTCCAATTACATTTTGATCTGGTTTAGCCTTAAGGGCTGCTGCCCTGGGCAAAGAGTTTGGTCCCTGTGGTGTAGAATGCCATTAACTTGAAAAAAAAAATTCAACTTTTCTGCCTTTCTACAAATAAAACACAAGATTAAAAAGGGCCACTGCCTTCTTGGCAAGAAAGAAAGAGAGAGAGAGAAGGAAGGAAGGTCACTTTAAAATGGAGACTGTGGCACAGATCATGTGCCACCATCAAACTGGGCTCTTAAAGGCGGGGTTGGGGCAAAAGCAGGGAAGGATGGCTTTTTTTCATAGTGGGATATGGTTGGTAGAATACAACTCCAGGTTACAACATTTGGTGCTTCTCATTTTGCCTTGCCCAGGGTTTGTGGACTTGCACAGCTGTTACTCTTGCATTTATTAGGAGCTTGGGATCTAGCTAGTCTATCAGCCCACATCTTTATGAATGTACCCTGAGTCCTTTTTTTTTTTCAGAGGACAAGAAACAGTTAAATCTTGGAAAAATTTATTCCAACCACCCTTGCATATCCTGTATAATAATAGTGATCTATTCAATGCCACTAGCATGGAATCATAACCACACTGAGAAGTGACCATTCCCGAGTCCTCCCTGTAGTCAGGAAGGATGTTACCTCACAAAGTAATTGCCACTTTCAGTCCCTGGGCCTCTGTTTATCATAGCCAGAATGTACATCTCAGCTGCTGGCAGAGGAACATGGCTTGTAAGGCCCAGTGAGTCCTAGAGTTCCCATTTATTGCTCTTCCTAACTCATCATAAGGGAGAAGAAAAGTAGGTCTGAGAACAATCAAATCAAAAACACTATAAATACATGACTATATATTTACTTACTTTTCCAGAGAGAAATGAATCCACTGAGAGTTTTGGCAGTGAAAATCCAGCACTTTCTTCTGAGGAAGAAGGTGAAATCCAAGAGAGTTCCTGAGGAGTATGCATTGGTTGTCTGCTTTGGGAAAGGAGGAGCACCTTTGGTTTTGGTTTTGGTTTTTTACTTTTAAATTTAATTTTTAAATTACATTAAGAATTATTTTTCTGGCCCAGTTTTCATGTGAGGTGCCCAGTCAGTTTACAAGCTTTTTTTTTTCTTTTCCTTTGATCATCATAGCACAAATTTGTTCCCATTTTTGTATGCTTAGTATAGCAGACTTATAAACTTTAGTATTTAATATCTAACCTTTATTTAGAGATTTTGAGGTGTAGCAACTCAGATTCTTGCTAACCAGTGTAAGATCAGTGCGTAAAATACATGACTAAAAGAATCTGGCTCCATGTGGGTTCGAATATTACTACGTATATTGATCCTGGAGCAATAATCCATTTTTTTTAACTGCATGTGTATCTTTCCATCTTGAGGGAAGGAAAAAGCAATATCTTATAATTGAGTAGGTTAATCTGTAAGGCACCTAATGTAATCAAATGAGGACTTTGGTAAAATATCACAGAAGGAAACCACAGTTTCTGCTGTTTGAGCCATCAGTATGTTTGCTGTCCTTACTAGGACTCATAAGTGTTTAATGCCATCTTCATTTCCATCACATCATATGCTTATCCCCTTTAACTTCATTAAAGTATGTATTGAGTAGTTGAGTTTTTATTTTCCATTCCTAGCAATACCTGAAAAACTTGGAATCTGTGCTATAGAAGTGTACATACGTGTATTTATTATATAGACACTAAATTTTTATCATAGTGTCTTTGTAAGCCTTATGATTTCACTTGTTGGAATTGCAAAGTTTTCCTAATTTTACTGGAATTTCTTAAGTTGTGAAATGACTATATATTAAAAAATTATTACATCTGCATTGCATCTGTGTATTAAGTGATTTTAAAAGGGAGATAAAAAGGACATTGTTGAATTCATGGTGGTTTCAAAATTGGAAAGAGATCTAGAAAATAGTGTGGGGCCCTAGGAAGACTAAAAATATGTAAGGATTATAGAAGGATGAATTGAAAGGAAAGTATTATGATAGCCACTGTAGTAACTGGGAAAGAAGAAATCTAGAGTATGGTGATGTTCAGTGAGTCTCTGGGTGAAAAATAAGTAATGATTTAAATATGATTCATATAGAATAAGTAAGACTTTACATCTTTAAGAGAATATATTCCTCTGTTGCTCTGTTTTTGATTGTCTTTCCCCTTCTTCCATTATAAAAACTTTTCATTTGAAGGTCACATTGTTAGTAAGATAGCAGAGAGACTACTAAAGATTGAGTCTCAGAGAATTCCTTTATGTCGAATGAATAGGTGCGTTTTAAACTAATTTGCAGTTTGACTCTACGTTGGAATGAGACAAAACTGAGTTAAGTGAGTAGTATAAATACTGTGAAAATAGTAAGCATAGCACCGGACACGATTAAGAAAAGTGGGATAAAGTACACAAAAGGAACATGTGATCTGAATATCAGGGTGGAGAGGAATTTCCTGACAGTGAAATCTGCTGTTCTGTAGATTTATTTCCAAGAAAAGTGTTAAAGAGTTCCATCTTTTGTGGAATTTAAATGTAGACTGGATAAAACCCAAAGTATTTATCCTGTACTTTCCCCTACCCAGGGGAAAGACTCCATCCATTACCTAATGCGTCTTTGCCACCCCTGATCTCTAGAATTCCATTTCTTAAACATTCCCACTGTAAATTAGTCCTGTGGAAAGGGTCCACTGACATTCTCCTCTCCCCCTATCAGAATACACATTTATTCACTATTTGGGATTTAGATGTGCTTGTATAGCCCTTGGCCATAGGTTTCAAAAGGAGTGGGAATAAGGGATTTAATTTGCTGAGATCTCTCCAGAAAATTTTAGAGCTTTCTTCTAAAATCTTGAACTTTTATTTTGATGGTCATTTTCTCTTTCAGTTTCTGGAGTCTTGACAGGTTCTTCTAAGCAAACTGACTAACATCAGTTTCAGTATGCTGGATTTCACAAATCACACTTGATGCACAAGAGGTGAACAGCGTTTTCATTTTATGTGTTTGTAAACATTGAGTTCAGAGGGAAACTGGGGCTTCCATAATTGCTAATTATTGCATAAAGGTTTATTTAATAGCCACAAATTACTGTAAATATGACCTACAGCTGTTCTTATTATAAATATGAATTAAAGATCACAAGGAATTATTTCAATAGGTATTATAATTACTAAAGCTTAGTTAGCAGCCAATTTGTTTCACCTGTAGCAAATAATGGGATTCAAGGTTCTTGGTGGCCATTAAAAAGCTTCTCTCTCTCTCTCTCTCTCTCTCTCTCTCTCTCTCTCTCTCTCTCTCTCTTCTCTCTCTCTCTCTCTCTCTCTCTCTCTCTCTGTCTCTCTCCTCTCTCTCTCTCTCTCTCTCTCTCTCTCTCTCTCCTCTCTCTGTATTTACATCACTTACAGACTTTTAAAATGACTAATGTCCTAAAATGATTTGTTTTATCTTTAGACAAATGGTTTACTTATTCAGAGTTTAGTAGCAAAAAGCATCTTTGTGATTTAAAATAATTTTTCTAAAGGTAATTAAGAGTATAAAGTATAACACAAGCTGCATCTATAAAATCCTAGATGCTTTAATGATTCATCTGAATTCTTAGAACTGTTTTCAGTTTCCATTTGGAACCTCCTTATTTGGGTTTGTCATAATACTGCTGATTTGAATAAGAGCATGTAGCTTCAAATTTTTTTCCCTGTTACAAATTTGGAAACAGTTTCCAGTTTCACCAACATTAAAGAAATATATTTATTTTGAAATTCAAGAGATGTTTGGTACAATATGTTTCAAAAGGAAAAGACCACTTCAGTATAAAAGTGTATGTATATGTGGGTATATGTGTACATATATATGTATATATAGACTTTTTATATATGTGTATATCTCCATCCTTAGTGAATCTGTATTTTGAAGAGCAAAGTTTAGGCAGTGAAAGCCACCTGAAGTGTGAATGCATATGTTCTCTGAAATTTCAGACATTTCCCAAAGGGGATGGGATGCCTTGGCTGTAGCCCCTACTGAGCGGTACAGTCCACCAATATTAAAATGTATCTCTTACTCTTGATGGCTGAAATAGGCACATTATAATCTAGCAGGTTTTTTTTTTTGGTACACATGTACTGTACCAGTAGTGGTTAAGGAAAGCTCCAGCTTCAGGGGAGATACTCCATATGTGCTGGGCAGCATGTATATAAATGCAAGCAGCAAGACAGTCCCTACCTTCAAGTAGCTTACATTCCAGAGGGCGTAGAAAAGCAGGATGGGAGGGAAGGTGTGTCAGTCAGTGAATGTTTATGAAGCTTCTGTGTACCAGGTGCTAAGTGTTGGAGATACAAAAAAGATTTAGAAAACAAGTCCCGCTCTCAGGGAGACCCCAGCCTCAATTGGGGGGAGATATGGAAACAACTGTGCATAAACAAGCTTTATATATACATGTGTATGTGTAATATAATTATTATTAATTATAACATTAAATATTATAATTCCTAGCTAACACTTGAAAGAAGTGGAGTTGGGGGAGGAGAGTGCTAGAAGCCTGAGGGACAGTGAATGTGGTAGCATGGCCTGGGGATAGCTAAGAAGTTAAATGAAGACGAATACTCACCCAATAAACCAAAGCTCCGCTCTCTGAGCCTGTGGTGGCCAGAGTGAAGGCAGCCTGTCTGGAGGTGGCTGGGCAGTGTTAAGCAGCTTCCTTACAGGCTTCCTTCAGGCCCCAACTCAAGTCCTACCATCTGTAGAAGCCCTTCCGCCTTCTAAGATTATCTCCAATTTATCTTGTCTCTAGCTCTTATTTTTGTATATGGTTCACACATTGCCTCCACCATTAATTAGCTGGTGAATTTTTTGGGAATAGGTACTATCTTTTTGCCCTTTCTTTTTTTGTATTCCCAAATGCTTAGTAGGTGCTTAATAGATGCTTCTCTAAGTAGAACATAACTGATGCATGATAGGAATCATTAAAAGTCAGCTGCCTGCTTATTCACTGGGCATTCATTCCAAAGGCGGGCTATTTTCTGTCCCAATTTGCAGTGAATAGAACAATTTGTTTCTCCAGCTTGAAACTGGAAATGTCTGTTACAATAATCATTTCAACTTTAACCCTCTTTTATTATTTGAAGAAAAAAAAAGTTATTCAGTGATTTGTAAAATTGTTTTCTTGGAAGATTTTGGTTTCAAGCCTTCCTTTATCCTGAGTATTTTCAGCTCCTGCTTTGAATCTTGCCTGAGTTCATTGCCTATTTGAATGTTAAAACTACTCCTCACTTAAGTTTGAATCCAACTGTCACTGCCGTGGTATGTTTCACAGTGGAATCTAGGGTATTAGTATCATTGAGATATATGCTCATCCATATTGGACACTGTATTAAGCGAGTTAAAGAGTCCCAAAATTTCTAACCAAAGACCAAAAAAAAGAGCACGGATTAGATTTATCTTTAAGGTCCTTTTTTAGCTGTAAATCTGTCCTGTAATCCTAAATATAATGTTGAGTAGAAACAAGGAAAAAATGGAAGGAACTAAAGACCAGTTGTCTCCATAAACAAACTTAGAATGTGTTAACATTTCAAATGATTGTTATTTGAGAGTAAGGAGTCTTTTATCTACACACACACACACACACACACACACACACACACACACACACACACACACACACACCCCCCCCACCCACCAGCTATAGCAGTTTATAAAAGTTTGTTGAATTTGAATTTGCTAGTGTTCATTTTGTTAATGAGCTAAAGGGAGTGTGTTTGGTGGGATGGTAAATAAAAGTGAAAGTCATGGGGGGGCGGGGGGGAGGATGCGTTTAGCTAGGGCGGGCTTGGAAGGAAGTAACCCTGTCCAACTAACTTAGAAGCCAGGAAAAGTTCTGTGGAGGAAATGGGGTTTCAGGGGCTGTTTGTTTGAAGAGAATTTGGAAGGAAAGCCCTCTGAAGTCAGGGAATCCTGGAAAAAAAAAAAAGCTTCAGAGGTGCAAATGGAATAGTTGGATGAAGGACCCTAAACCTGCAAAGACTGGTCCTGATCCTTAGTACAAGTGTGGTGCTCAGATAAACTTAGCCAAGGCAGGGAGGAGGGGGTGGGGAGCTGTTAGATTTGGGGGGAGGGGTATTCTTAGGAAGGTTTTCTGTCTGTTTTGGAGAAAAAGAGGAGTCACAATTTTATATAGGCTCAATAGTAGCTTCACTTTTCATATCAGAAAACTTGCATACTCCCAGGTTACAGCTGAGCAGATTGGGTTATTTTTACTGTGAAAAATGATTGTTATACAACACCTCGAAACTACCGTGCTTTTTTTTTCCCCTGCTTGAATAGTTGGTTCTAGTCAATCCATATGGTATGAATTTGTTGTGGTAAGAAAGTCCCTAAAGTCCAATAACCAACTATTTTTCATGGAACTGTGGTCCTGTCCTTGACTTCAGCTCTGTATGCCTGAAGAAAAACAGCCTTGCTCGGAACTGAATTTGAAAAAGGATCTGATCGTTGGTTAACCAACCTCTGATGACGCTGTGCTTTTAGGGCTCTCTCCAACTCAGAATAGACAGCAACTTGTTCCATATTCCAGTCAGATTGAAAGATGTCTTAAAATGCTGTGCTCCAAACTTCTTCCTGAATAAATGGATCATTTGCTTAGCCAACATCCTGGCTTGGTCTCTGGAGCTGTGCAGTTTGGAAACCTGTGTAAATGCCTTCTGCCGTATTTTCCCCTGTACAATCAAAACTTCTAAGCACTTCAATTTTATTTCATTTTTTTTTAAATTAGTAGTGAGCAGAACCAAGCGTAATTGAATGTTTAATCTCCTAGGTAAATTCACAGAAGACTATAGGTTACTGTTTAT